AAGTACATTGCACAATGGGGACCCTGAGACACAGCTCCAGTGAGGCACCTGCTGTTCTCTGTGGCAAGCACCAACAGAGAATTGTGTGAGTAGGGCAGGCACACTGCAATAATGTAGAATCAAATATGGCTTAATGGGATGRTTAAGGGGTGGCAGAATGTGTCACRTGAGGACAGRCTGGGMGAGCTGGGATTGTTCAGAGAAAGGGTGCACTGTGTGGAAATACTTGACAGGCAGAAGTGAAGACTGACGGCCAGGCATCTCAGCGATGCCCAGCCACAGAATCAGAGGTAAAGGGCACAAACTGACATAAGAAATGAACTTTTTTTCGTTGTTTTTCTATTTTTAACTGCAAAGGCAACTGAGCACTGGAGCAGGTTGCCCAGAAATCTCCATCCTTGGGCATACTCAGATTCTACTCAGTCTTGGCCCTGGGCAAGCAGCCCTTGCTGATCCTCCTTAGGGCAAGGACTTGGACTGGGCAGCCTTCTACAGACCTCGCTTCCAGGCACAGCAAATATTTGACTCGCTGATATTTGATTATTTTGCACCTGCAAGCACATACRCTTCTGCATAATTTTACAGAGAAACTTAACTTTGCTTTACTCTCAAAATGAGAMATAAATTCCCAGCATCCGAGGAAATAACTTAATTGTAAATTCTGTRGAAACAACTGAACCCCTCTCTACCCACCGCTCTGAGTAATGAGCAACTCTCGACATTTAAAAAAAGCTATCACATCAGAAACACGCATTTTGTATTCTTATATAGACACTATATATTCCCGCTTGTTTTGTAAGACACAATCACAGACTTAAATTTAACCTAATAAAAGATTCCACTTGTCCCGTAAATGGGAAGCGTATGCATTTGACCTTTCCCTAAATGTAATACCAAGGGAAACTAGACTCTAAATAGCTTTCCCGCTAATTTATTTCTCCCTGCTGTTACTTAGAGCGGCTGATCGCACTCTTTCCGTACCTCAGCCTCCCGTCCAAGCCCGTCTCCCTGAGGGCGGGCGGTGCCTCAGGCGTGAGGGAGGAGCCCCGCCGGGGCCGCGCCCCGCTCAGCTCTCGCGAGATGGGCAGTGAGCGGCGCGACAGCCGGGAGCGGCGCGGCAAGATGGCGGTGGAGTCGCGGGTGACGCAGGAGGAGATCAAGAAAGAGCCGGAGAAGCCSATCGACCGCGAGAAGGTGTCCGGAGTGCGGGGTGGTGGTGTCGCGCCGCTTCTCCGGCCGCTCCAGGGCGGGCAGCGAAGGTTGGGGGGAGTGGGGAGCGTTTGATGACGACGTGGGGCCTCAGGCCTGGGGGGGGGGGGCGTGGCAGACGGCCCCTCATCCTGATCCTCACCCCTATCCCGATTCTTACCCCTGTCCCAATTCTCACCCCCGCCTCGCAGACGTGCCCACTGCTGCTTCGCGTTTTCACCACCAACAATGGGCGCCACCATCGTATGGACGAGTTCTCCCGCGGCAACGTGCCCTCTAGCGAGCTGCAGATCTACACCTGGTGAGTGACATCTCAGCTCTGCCTGGCGATGGCAGAGCGGGGCCTCGCCTGGGCGCCAGGTGCCAGAGGGAGCAGGAGATGTGGAGGAGTTCTTGCCGCCGCTGGAGTGGAGCGGTTCTGGCTGTGCCTGGGCAGCTGAGAGGTGGTATCTCTGGAAGCACAACTTTGGCTAAGCGCTCGTTGCTGCGACCTGAGACTTAGTGTCGCTAATTGTGCTGTTACTACTGCATGTAATTGGTGGGCTGTGTTGTGGCGATGGTTATCACAACGCATCTATTCAGCACAGAGGTTCTCCTTTAATTTTGTTCCAAGAATCCCGTTTGTCCAGTAGAAACAGTTGTCCCAGAAGGCTTGAACTGTTGTGTGAATGATTTGTTGGTTTAACTCAGACCTTCCTATGAATGGAGTAATAAGTGTTCTTTTTGCGTGGCCAGGTAGCAGTGCTTTAACAGAGAGCTGCCTTTTATTACTGTCAGATTTCTTTTGGAGAACTGCATCAGTCTCCATGGCAAAACCGTTAGGTTTTGTTTGTAGTATTTTGAATAATGCCTTTGAAAAGGAATTGCTACTTTTTAAACCTTCCTTTGGCTTCATCACCTTTGCTGGAGTTGAAACTCATACGTTGTGCAGTTGAATAAATCCATTTTTGTGGCTACCAAAGCTTGCAGTTCTAATTTACTGAAGTGTAATCTATGGACTCTGTCCAGGCTGTTGGTGTTTGCCATTTGCAGAAGTCTGAACAGGCATTGTCTGCYGATACACTGCTCCTTGGTTGCACAGTCTGTATAATTTGAGACACTTTAGTTGCAATGATTGAGTACTTTTGTTCTTGAAATTCCAGACATGAGCTTTATGCTTGCTCTGGTTGAAGTCTGGRTAAAGGAGTGCTGCCTGCTATGGCAGAAATGGAAAACCCTTTTTTTYCTGCTTTTCTTATATTTTCTCTAATAATAAACTGTTGTAATACAGATGCTAGCTTAGGTGAGGAAATTCATACACTGTGCCTTGTATGAATGCTTTAATGCATTAAAAATTAAATAGATTCCTGCTCTTTAAATGGTAACTCTTCAGAGAGACCTGGAAACACAGATATTGAAATATAGAGGTGAGATCTGTCTGAATATCACAATGAATCAGACACATTTGCACTGGAGCATGTCGCTTCCAATGTGTGGTAAGTGGTGAATTCTCCCAGGTATTACAATCAATAACTAGAGTGACTTCAYGTCCCTTGATTGTTCAATCAAAAAATTTATTGTCTGGCATGTGCGGTTTTGGAATCAATGGCTTTCTATGTAGCTGAAATGTAACAACTTTGGGTGTGGACACAGATTATGCCAAGGCAAAGAAACATAGGGTTAAGTTGTAGCAATGTGTTGATTTCATCTTGAATATCTTGGGTAGCTGTTTTTGTTTTTTACTGTTCCTTTGAGATTGTGAAGCACTTTGGTTTGTTTGCTTAATCTAGGATGGATGCAACTCTGAAAGAGCTGACCAGCTTAGTGAAAGAAGTTTACCCAGAAGCACGGAAGAAGGGCACGCACTTCAACTTTGCAATTGTTTTTACAGATCTCAAGAGGCCTGGCTATAGGTAAATGGCATCTCTTTTCTGAGTTAATAGAATACTTGGGGCACCAGAGCAGTAAATTATTCTCCAATAATACTGATTTAAAAGTTCAGAACCCACACACACTTTTGAAGTTATTTATAATGACCACTAAAACTGTTTGTAGTGCTTGTTAATGTGTTCCCGAAACAATAYCTGTGTGCTTGAAGGCTTTGTTTGCAGTACTGGCAACCAGCTGGAACGTGGTCCTCCAGCTTGAGATAATGCTTTGTTCCTGGTGGGTCTCACATCTGAGTTACAGCAGTGATCTTGCTGCAGGTGTTTCTCTTCCAAAATGGCATAAGCTAGTCTTTGTCAGAGTCCAGTGGATATAACCTGCTCTGAAATCTTGTGCTTTGTATGGAAGGGGTGAGAGGTTCGCACTACTATTTAACATAATAGGGTAGAAGGCTCCCTTGCCCTCTACTACTGCAGAGAAGTACCACCGTGTCTTGTGTGCATAGTCACATGCTAAGTACAGTGCAGGGAATGGTATGGCAAGGGGGTTATGARCCCTTGCAGTTCCTGTTTTGGACATCTGGAGAGATTGGCCACTTGTAACTGACTTGCCTTTCCTCTGCTACTCACAGGGTGAAGGAGATTGGCAGCACCATGTCGGGCCGKAAGGGCACAGATGATTCCATGACATTGCAGTCTCAGAAATTCCAGATAGGAGACTACTTGGATATAGCAATTACTCCTCCRAATCGTGCCCCACCCCCATCAAGCCGTATGAGACCTTACTAAACCTTTGTTTCTTTGKATGATTCTATTCTGTTTACTCCTACTTGCTGTTCAAAAGCAGGCTTATTTTTTTTGCTTTTGTTGCTAAGCACTGAAAACAAAGCTGAGCATCGTGAAAAAAATAGTTAATTCTTAAACCTTCTCGTTTGTGTAGAAGAAACCCTATTAGCAGCACCATCATCCTGTCCCTGATTGTTATAGTTTGAATAGTCAATTAATGTATCCAGTGTTTTAAAGACTTACCTAAAATATGACCAGGAGGATTACAGGTGTTCTGTATTGTTTGAAATAAAAATTGATGTTATTAATCTTTTGATCGCTTCGTGATGTATCAATGTTTGAGGCTGCTGTGTTAGAGCTTATTAATCAAGCTAGGGGTGTTGAGGTTGAGGGTGTTTAGCAGTCAGCTTCTGGAATCTGAAAATGGAGGAGGGGGTAGCTCAGGGATCTCAGTTGTCCATGGGCCAAATGGAAGACTGCTGTGTGGTGATGCCTGGTTCCTTGAGCAGGATGAAGAACTGGTGATCCATCTCAGCAAAGCAGTGCTGGGGACTTAGCTCAGTGCTTGTTGGCCTATGTCACTGSAGGGGGAGACGTTGAGATGTGTGGSTGCCTCTGGTCTTCTAGCAGGGGCCAGCTGTTCTTGGCTGATGGGGAGTGTCCAGCTGGTCCAGGCAGGACTAGGTGCTTGGTTTCTGCACGTTGAGCCCCTGTATGCTCAGAGCAAGGCAAGAGCAGGAGTAGAAGCAGTAATTGCTCATTAGAACCTCCACCTTCCTCATTCAAGGCCTSAGCAGAGGCTAGGACTAAAGTAAATGTTTCCGTTTGCTGAGGATGAAAGTGTGCTTTGTGTCATGTGCTGGGATCTGTATGTTTTTGGTTTTTTTTCCCTCTCCGGTTTCCCTTGGTTTAGTATAGTTTGAGGGATTTTAGGTTCAGTTTGCCCACGGCTTAACCCTCTTCTGTCCCCATTCTCTGGCTTCTGAGTTAGGGAGTTGCAATTTTAGTCTTCATGAATGTGTCTAATTCACAGAGTTGCCTACATCTTGAGTCACTTTTCCGAAAAGTGCTCCCCACCTTTGTTTTAAAGAGAGCTCAAGACACTTATAAACATTGCTTATAAAGGACTCAGCCTAGACGTGGAACTGATTTATTGCTGCCAGAGGTGGTATGGGTGGGATGTTTTTCCATGGTGCAGTTACCTCTGGTGTGAGGCCATGCTCCAAATACTGCTGCTATGAGGAACCCAGGGACTYGTGTGTTACCAGGGGCAGGCTTGCTCAGGGTGGGGACACTTGACGGACCTGGAAGACAGAAGAGCAAAGGCCACTGCTCATCTGTCCTGCAAAATGAGTTCAGTGAGTAACCAGCATGTAATTACAGAATGCTACAGCTCACACCAAAGGGAAGGACAAACCAGCCATTAGAGGTACACAGGAATATGGGCATTTCCTCAGTTTTGTGTCCTGTTTTTTGCTTTAATTGCATTTAAGGATAATTCTCTAAATGTAGTCACTATGTAAGGCAATAGCAGCAAGTGAGCCTGTGTCTGTGACTCAGCTGCTCTGGAAGGCAATGTGGCTTCACTGCTGGCATGGGAGACATGGCCAGGGAAGGCTGGTGCCTGCCCAACTGGCAGAGAAAAAAAGCACCTACTGGTTTTGTATGTAGTGGTCCATGAAGCAGAATGGCCAGGAAATAAACATGCATAACTGCCTTCAGCAGCAAATATTTCATTCAGCCCTTGGGCAAGGGGTGAAAGGGAAGTGAAAGCTGTCACCAGCTAATCTCTTAGTGCACTGGAGGGAATTCAGTCACCATAACCTGGTTGTGCTTGTCTCTGAAAGCTACTATAAGAGTTGAGGAGGGATGTTAATCCCTAACAAGAGCCAAATATGTAGAGCACTGTGGTTTGGGGAAATTAAAACATGGTCTTCAACAGTGAGCAATCCTGTGTACTCAGGAAGTGGTGTAGACAACACTATATCCACATTTGTCAATCCACAGGATTTTCTTTGTATGCAGCAATTTGATGACGAATTTCTGACCCTCATCAAGGCAGCTGGATATGTTCCCTTTTCTTTGTTGGATGCTTAAAGCCCTAAGAGAAACAACTTTGTTACATGTCTACACTTTGAATAGCAACCACTCCTCCAAAGTTTATCTCCCAGCTGAGTAAGTAGAGAACAAAGATGACAACTCTCTAGAAAAGGTTTCCTGACTTTGACACTTCTCAGAGGTAAACCCCACATCCAGCAGCTCAGACAGCAGACAGCTCTTATGTCCTGTCCCTGCCCCACCAGGGTTACTACACGTACCCCACCTCCCTTGCAGGTGTTCCTCCAGGCCTTACCTTCTCCCTGTCCTTTCTCAGAGGGCCATTTTTCTCTGCCTCTAACTGGTTGCAAACACCCATATCACTCCTGCAGGTTTCCAGCCCATGTTTCCTGGCCTCYGGCTGCAGCAGCAAGCCGTGGAAGTCTGGCTCTTGCTCTGTAGTAAGAATACTTTGTACCTTTCCAAGGCCATGAAATTCCAGAGCCAACATTTACCCCACCAGTGCTTTTAATTTATGAAATAGCTGGACCCAAGTCTGGTTTTCACTCTCTGAAGAGGAAGGGTAGAACAAGTAAGTGTTCTTATAGCGGACACCAAGCATTTGAGACAGATTTATTTATTATCCAAAAGTTTTAATCAGATTCACAGACTAACACATTAGTACATACATTTCATCAGAAATTAGCATTTTCAATGACTGTGCTCAGGTCAGAACTAGCAGAAAATCACCTTCTCCAGTTAATTTGATGTATGCTTATCTTGGAAAATTACTGTAGTAGCAGAAAAAAAGGCATCTTTACTTGTTAAATTTTAACCAGGACAAGTCTGTCTAAACAATTGAAGAAATACTTGTGGGCATCTGTACATGTTTGCATATCTTGAAGACTTAAAAAAAATAGAGCTGAATTGAGAAGAACATCCACTTATCCACATCTCCTGGGACCTTCTCATGTATTGCATGTTTGCCTTCATATAAATAACAGAATTTCAGTCATCAACTGAAAGACAAAAGCTAGGAGCAGTCCTGGAGTCAGAGGAATAGCTGACACTGGAAACAGCAATTGGCTCCAAMCAAGGATACTTAGCTGTGTCTTCTAGTGGAAAACAGTGAAAGCGCTGGTAGAAAAAAATCCTGGTTACTGTGATAAAAGAGTGCCAAAGAGCTCTGAGAACTTCATCTTGGTTAGCAACTACAGGGGTAGATGTGCATATTTGAAAGCGACACCAGGACTGAAGAGAACACACACAGCAGCAGCAGGAAAGGAAGCAATTACCTACACGGCTGGCAGCAAATTCCTCMAGTAGTTGAAGACACACATAACAAGTATCAACTGCACATTTTCAAGTAACTCAAAGTGGGGACAGAGTCACCCTCTAGGGCTACAAAGAAACCAGATGCATAGCACCTGATACTATGTTGATGTACATTAAGAAACTGCCTGGAAAATGCCTGTCTGCCAGAGGGGTAATAGTCTGATGCAAGAATGCGTCAGCTACTTCTCAGCGTTGCAGAAAGAACTAGCTAGACACACAGAAGTGCTTTAAACTGTAAAGCAGGACTTACTCTGCCAGTATAAAAAAAGGCTTGTCTCTGTTGAAGATACCAAATACTGTTGAAGTACCAGACTTCAACCTCAGACCTGACACTATGTAGACRGTCACCAGAACAGCCAGAGAAGTCCACTTCTTTGAGCAATATACAGGACTTTGSTTTTATTACAACCTAACTGCACACTCTGTAGCCTACTGCAAATGTAATCTTACACAACAAACAACTGAAGTACTACCTTGTATATGAATCTGTATTCCTCCCTGAAGTRTAACATATTTAGAAACCCTCAATTCATTTTGCCAACAATGTCAATAAAAAATTTAGAACAAGTTGTTAGTTCAAACAAGTTTATTCATATCACAGACAAAGAATTTTTCTCTATTAAAAAAGATTTTTCTTTGTATAGCTTTCTTTTTCCTCACCAGTTTTTCCTTTTGCTTTTTRACTTATGATTTGGTGATAAGATCCACAAATATGAAACAGTTTGAACACAGTCTTCGGTTTGATTTCAAAAGTTTGGCTTGAAAACTCCACGATATCCTCTGAAAATACCCAGATGARTTAATGAGCTTATTTCAATTGTATTTTGAATTAAAAACAGACACAAATATTGAAAACTTGTCTTTTTTATCTTGGCAACAAAAAACAGATGGTTGGCTAAAGTGACATTACTGAAATGGATTCCAACTCCCAAGTATAGTAAGATACCAGCTTTTATCAGTCTCACTCTGGGTTGTTGTTCTTGGCATGTTCCTTGAACCTTTAAATAACCAGTACAGATTCTATGTTTAACAGATAATCAACAAGCGTAACATTTATTATAGTGAATCAGGAATAGCTACACTGCGATAAAGTTATCATAAAAACATCTTTATATTCAAATTGATTATGTATTTTATAAAACTATTATTCAATTGTTCTCAGATTAGTTGTACTTCTTGTAGCATTGTATTTCAAATAATTTTCTCTTTGCCARAACAACTGTAAAATCACTTTTCATTTAGATACTTTTCTCCACGTTTTGTTGCCTAAATTTACTCAGAAAGCATTYGCTGGTGCTTTGATTGCCACAAAGCAAAGTACACCTACAGGTAAACCTACAGTAAAACTCTGCCTTCCATTTTTTTTTTTTATTTGTGAGGATCCAATCATACCATCAACTATAATATTTGATCTTTACAAACAGGTAGTCAGATACCGAGATGCTATGTCAGAACCCATTTAGTCTCAAAGGCAAGAACTGTTATTGTAGTTGAAGAGCTAGCAGCTGCATGAATTTATAAGTGGATTAAAACCTCTTTGTAGCTCCTACAAATGAAATCACTTAATCAAATYTGTAAAATGTAATCATACCTGTTCTCTTTGTTGCAATAATCAGTGGAATCACTTTCATATCTTGTAGTTTTTTCCACCTTGGTCCCCATTTCCTTGGTGTTAGAGAAGTCTACCTTATGATTATATTGAGAAAGAATCTATGGGAAACATTAAAAGGGAATAAAAAGAATTACTTAGGAACTCCAAACAGATGGATATAGATAGAACTAGGCCCTTTCAATTTTAGTACTCTTATATTAAAATTAGTTAATGAAAAATAAAATCATATTAGCTAACCTTTAGGACATCATCTGGTATCCTTGTTATTTCTGGAGGGGGAGGAGTATTGAGTAATTGGTCATAGTGTTTCAATTTYGGAGGAGAAGGGTCCTCAAAATGTTTAAGATACTCATCAGAGCTCGCAGTAAGAGGAATTTTGTCCTCTTTGTATTGYGTATTTTTTGCATCATCCTTTGTCACTGACTCAGTCTTCTCCCCTGGTTTTACCTGCTGCAGCAAAAGAGGTATTAAATGYCTTCAGTTAATTTACTTATGTTAGGTAAAGTATTTAGTAAATGTTCTTAGAGAATTACAATCRGAACTTTTACAGCGACATAAGAAAAAATAGTATTGGAAAAGAATCCCAAACTGACATTTTAAAAACTGCTTATGGCAAAGCATGTGAAAATGTACATAATTGCTATTTACTACCTTAGCTTCTGCTTTTAGCCATCTTGTTTGAAAATCTGGACACTGTGGWGTTGCTGTATGACTGGGAAGAGGCAGTTCCTTTGTCTCTGGTGACCTTGACAAGACAGTACTATTTGTTTTGGAAGAGACCTTCCCATCAGGAGTACAGAGCACAAATACCATAGGGGAAGCCATCCAGTCAGCTGCTGATATTAAGGRTGAGTGAAATAAAAATAAAATTATGTATGTACACACACACACATACACACTATTACCAGTTCCAGTTCCATTTTCTAAAAATCTGTATAATTTTAATTGATATTTTGATCCATCCAAATTACAGTATTCCTTAAAACCAGCAAATAAAAAAAAAAAGTCATTCTAGTCCCACACCACTGAATGTAACTGGAAGAGCCCAACTTAAAWCAGCATTGCTTTACCTTCTCATTTACCCAATTGTCACTATGTTTGTCCCAAGATGTTTAYAGATTTTTAAAATAACCTATTTCTCCTCTCAAAGAAGATTTAGCATCACTCTTCAAAGTCTTAAATTATGGTCTTTCTGCCCCTTTCTTTCCTGTCTTTAAACAAATCTAATAGGTATTCTCAGAAAAAAAGGCCAAGTTGGCAAAACAGTATTTTTATTTCAAAAAATTAGGAGCAATTACAAAATGATTAATTTCTCTTCACAATTCCAGTTGGATATGAGTGAAAGAATCAGGAAACATTTATCGGAGTGAGAAATCTTCCCAAAGAAGCCATTAACAGTTTTTAGACATTAGTATTCATGCAATGACTGGGCCTGAGTTAACTCTATTGAACCAGAAATACAATTTAAGCTTACCATGTGTTTACAATGTGTTCACACACACATTCTATAAAAATGCATACGTATATTAATTTCATATATTTTAAACTTACCAYTCTCAGCTCTCATACTTGATTTTGATGCAGGAGTAACCATGATTTCCCTGACTGTCATTTCTGGCAAATTTCCTCCATTATTGTCTCTTTTAACCAACCTGAAAATCAAATCCCAATCAGCTCTCAAGTATTATGAAGAAATCTCAATTAAAGAAATATTGCCAATCTGATCACTTTTCTAGTATTCATTCACAAATATGTAAGTAAAAAATTAATTTTCTCAAACAGAAATTTTTATTGATTTTCTCCTCTATGATTCTACTTAAATTTGTAGTATGCAAATATTCAGTCCAGCCACAGATTATCAAATACACTGAGATTTCAATCCAAGGCATTAAGAAAAAACCAAACGCAAACCAAACAACCAAAAAGATATCCAGGGTAGGACAGATGCCCCAGATGGTCAATTTGGTGTTGAACTGCCTGTTGCCTATAAAATTCCAAAGAACAAGAGGAAACCTTTTCTGATTTTAAACGARTAAGAGTCTTGTGAAAACAAAAAGATTTTTAATTGAATTTTTAAGTTTAAATAAGATTATTTATCTTAATCAAATACTATAGAGCTTTAAAGTAATTTTATTAATTACATGACAATTTAAAGGGAGAAATCCCAAAATTCTTTTAAAATAAAATCTAGTGATTTCAAAGTGACAAGCTATTTAATATCAATTTCATAACACTGGAAACAGATAATTAATGATAATTTTAATAATTTAAAAAATATTTTTTCCTRTGCAAGATATTCTATTGGAAAAATGATATATGCAGTTAAGAGACAATACAAGGCAAAAAGAAGCTTACCTGACATACAAAACTGTGTATTTRAAGAAAATTATTTAAAATGTTAAAAGAAGTTATCTTAACTATGATAACCAGATTTAGAGCATCTCTACAAAATGTCTAAGCTTAAAAAAAACCCAGAAGAAAACAGTATAGGCAGTAAATGAAGCAGTATATTTTACTTAGATGAACCCATCTCAGACTCTGAGTTAAATAAAAAGTCAGTTATCTCTGGAGCTTTATAGATAGTTGAAACCATATGAATTTTAGTTTTTACAATTAGTAGAACCAGTAGAATTTTCGAAGTGTTTTCATGCATATGATCCTTGTTTTCCAAACAATTTCTCTAAATATCAGATATTTAGGTACTGTCYGCTTTTAAAATTGAACATATTGCAAATACTAACTATAATAACATGACCTATTAACTAGGTACTCTATACCTCACTGCTACAATTATTTTTCTCTAGATTTTCATGGTTCTAATTATAAAGGAGTCTTTTCAACAGAAGATTGGAGCAAAAGCAGCAAAGCAGCAACTGGTGGGACTTACGTAAAAGACAATACAGTGCTTCTATAAATTTACTAAATGCTTTACCCACCTGTTTTCTGTTTGTATTACTAAAGATTCTGAGACCTCTAAACTGCCTTTGTAATATCTATGCCCCCCAGACCCAAACCCATGGTTAAGGAAGGCAACAGATCACATTGTGTTTTCCCCTTTGTAAATAYATTGCACATGGAAGATTCCTGTGGTGCAGTCAAGGCAAGGAGCACATCAGATGTATTTTGTGTCAGCATTTGGCACTGCAATGGTACATGAAAAGACATAGAGTTAAACAACACAGGGCCAACCAGCTGAGAGATAACAATCATCCTGAAGACAAAGCAAAGGGTGATAGCRGCAAGAAATCAGTACATCAAGAAGAAAACAGAGAAAATTTGGCAGACTAAATCTGAACTTACTTTTTGATTTTCTGAGAAGTTTTATGAATAAGTGACATCGTATAATCTTCATTCATACACACGGTATGTTCACTAATGCCAAAGTGTTCAAGTTTTGGTGTTACACATTCATAATCATCCATCTTTAGCCTACATTTCGGWGTTACGGGCAAAGCACGGGGTGTTCGCAGTTTTGAGGGAGTCTCATTCTTTGAGTTGAGTACGAGAGTCTTTTGTTGATTTTGTGCATTTGATGTGTGCTGTGCTTTCACTGCACTCCAAGGCCTGGAGAAAGCGTATTGTGAAAGACCAAAATCRGAAAGCTGGAGGTTATGCAGTGGGTCTTTGGGCAACGGTGGCTTCTCASTACTAGTGGAAAGATGAGGTACATCATTTGCTTTTTCTCCATAAGATTTATTCTGGACAGACACTGTGGATTCACTAACTTCTTCCTCTACTTCTTAAAAAAAGAAATGAAAAAGAAAAAGTCAGAAGTTTCTGTTGAAAGAATTTATAAAATAAATTGGGACACCTCTCCAGTATTCAAWTTTTTTTACTTGTTATTGTAAAAARATAGATTCATTCTTTCRCTTTAAAGTATTGAACCTGAAGCTAAAACAGATATCAAAAGCTTATATTTATAGCTTAGCCTGTTACAAGTCACATATTCACTGAATTTCACTCTGCTGGTAAATATTTGTAGGGAAAATGAAATTCAAACATTTTTACACAAATGTATTTTTATCCCTGCATGGAGACGAAAAGCTTTTGGGGAAAGAGCAAAGGCTGCACACAGTACTATAATACTCATTCTTCAGAAGAGCAGTATTGAAGAAAGGTTATGAGGCAGCAACTAAAAACTTGTGAAAAAAGATAGTCTTTCAGATAACAAGRGTCCACTGCAAAAGTATGTGAATGTATAATTTATACATTTTTGGAGTTAGAGAAACCAAAACGCCCCAAAACGTTTGTGCATTTCTGCATGATATAGTAAGTGAAGAGCAATGAATCTGGTGAAGTGTCTGGAGCACAAGTCCTGTGAGGAGCAGCTGGGGGTGTTTARCMKRGAGGAAAGGAGGCTCARGGTGGACSTTACCACTCYACAACTGCCTGAAAGGAGGSTGYAGCCAGGTGGAGGGTCAGGCTCTTCTCCCAGRCAACAGGACAAGAAGACAYAATCTTAAGATGTGCCGGGGGAKGACAYCAGGAAGAATCCATTTTAGGTTGGACATCAGGAAGAATCTTTYCACAGAAAGAGTGATTAGATRTTGGAATGGACTGCCTGGGGAAGTGATGGAGKCACTGTCCCTGGAGGTGTGTAAGGAAAGACTGAACGTGGCATTCAGTGCCGTGGTCTGGTTGACTTGGTGGTGTTYAGCCACAGGGTGGACTTGATGATTCAGAAGTATTTTCCAACCTGACTGATTCTGTGAGGGGGTAGCGGGGGGAGGCTATTTAAAGTTATATACCTTCTGGTGTGCAGTGGTATTATGTATTCAGACACACTTAACTTAAAAATACCACTTAAAAAATAATTTAGCCTTGTAGCTCTGTTTGGAGACTCTTTTTTAAAAGCAAAGAGACTATATGAAGAAAGGTRCTATAAAAATCAGAGCCTTCTGCCCTGTCTGTGTAAAACAGCTACAGTAGCTTAACCTGGACATGAATATGGTTCACAACCATAATTTTGTTCTGTGTAATGACTAGATAATGTTCAGGGAAGGTTAAGACTCTTTGAGGACTGATTGGGCCCTCAATACCAAAGGAGTATGTGTAGTAGCAACAGCTGTAGTCGTTTGGCACATTGGCACTTTAACTCATTTGGCACATCTGGATTTTTCAGACAGGTGTGTGCTTTCTTTAACTGGATTAAAGACCTCCTTCCCCTCCAATGATAAGGCCACTACTGCTTGTTACATGCTACTAATTACTGTACATTCTTGTCTTGTCCCATTTGTTCTGCAAAACAGACATTTAAAAATTTTCTCTAAGGTGATTTAAGTTAATGAAACCATCACATATGAATACAAACCAACTGAGGTGCATCTCCAGTAGTTTCTCAGGCATAAGAAGCTGAAGCAGCATAATTCCCTGTATTATGAAAACATGCTTGCTAACATGTTTGCTGAATATAATTATTACTGAAAAAAATCCAAAATCCAACACACACTAACCTTTTAAAAGCATGCCAGGAGATCTACTTTCAAGTGTTTGTATTTTGATTTATTCTTACTGCACCAATCACAACAAAATCTTTTACCCTCTGGATATTATTATAAAGCAAATAACATAGACGTACTTGATCTCTTAATTAACAGAAAAAAACCACATAGCTAAAGAGAAACGTTTTATAAAAATGATATTTTTCTTCACATRCTGCCAGAAAATATTACCTGTAGAGTCTTTGACATGTGGTTTGTAGCCATATTTCTGGAACAGCTCTCTTATTTTTCCAAGATCYGCTGCATTCCTTTGCATCAGTATTTCACTTGCCTTCATAAACTCATGAATTGTTTGTTTTTCAGAGCAACTCYTACCAAGACTGGCACTAACATCATCCTTTGGGGACAGAGAGGAGGAATGGAACATAGAAATACTRGTTTTCAAATCATCACATGATAGTTGTTTATATTTTGGGAGTAAGTATTCGACTGCAATTCAGATGAAGATAGGCAACAAAAGTAGGTCTTTTCTRTATCTGAAAACTATCAGGTACATATATATTCCTGATGTTCTGTAGGTATAAGGCATAAATGTATAAAAACTTATAAAAATTAAACCATGATGACAGTTCACAATATGATGACTGCTTTCTGGTAATCTTGCATAGAAAAATATATGCTTTTACTCTAGAAAAATATCAGATAACAGGAATTGGTTTGGAGTCTTGATCCATATGTACAAGGAATTAGTGCAGAGCAGAAGGTAAACCTCACATTTATACCACTCTATTTCTATACTTGTTCATTTATATAACCCATTTTTCCTACTTCTGTATAAGAAATAGACAACTTTTTTCATGAGTTTAACTGAATGGCGGGAGGTACTGAAATTTCTGTGAAGATTGATTTTATTCTAAAGGCAGGTCATGGAAAACAAGCAAGCTCATCTTTGGTGGGAGCTGCTGCTCCTAAATTGTACTCCTCTTACTTTGGCACAGCTACAACTTCCCTGTAACCTTTGTTCCCTGCTTACCAAAATGACAATAGTGACTGCAAACTAATAAATATTGCTAAACCTACTTTGAGTCACCTACAAATTTTAAGGCACTACCCCAATACCCATGGCCATTATGAGGACTTGGAGGTGAGTAAAGGTAAGGGCCACAACTGCTCACTAATGAAGTTGAATTGTGGCTTAATGATCAAAACAGAACCTTAAGCTTACAGAACATGCACACACACACAATTTTTCAAGAAGKAAGTGAATGAAGACATTACCTTTTGAGTCTTGATTTCACAATAGAGGTCATGCAAGACTGTTGTTGGAGATTCATCTTCATAGTCTTTGAGATACATGTTCACATAAGAGAGTTTGGAAAGTAAAAAGTGTGTCTTAGTGTTTTAGTGTGCAAGTGACATTCTACACGGCAATGCAATTTCCTGTATTAGYGGATGAGAGGCTGGACATGAGCTGTCAATGTGCACACACAGCCCAGAAAACCAATCCTGTCCTGGGCTGCATCCAAAGCAGTGTGGGCAGGGAGGGAMTTCTGCCCTCTGCCCCTCTGCTCTARTGAGACSCCACCTGCAGTGCTGCATCCAGATCTGGGGTCCCCAGCATAGGAAGAACATGGACCTGTTAGGGTGAATCCAGTGGAGGGTCATCAAGAAGATTAGAGGAATGGAGCATATCTCCTAMAAGGAAAGGCTGAGAGAGTTGGGATTGYTCAGCCTGGAAGAGGCTGCTTCAGGATAAACTAATTACAGCCTTCCAGCACCTGAAGGGAGCCCACAAGAAAGATGTAGAARGACTTTTTACAGGGCAAGGGTGAATGGATTCAAGTTAAGAGAGAGCAGATTTAGATTAGATACYAGGAGGAAGTTCTTTGCTGTGAGAATGGTGAAACACTGGAACAGGTTGCCCAGTGAAGCTGTRGATGCCTCACTTCTTGAAGTGTTCAAGGCCAGGCTAAATGAGGCTCTGAGCAACCTGGTCTAGTGGAWTGTGTCCCTGCCCATGGCAAGGGGGTTGGAACTAGGTGATCCTTAAGGTCTCTTCCAACCCAAACCATCCTATGTTTCTATGATRTTAGAGATACTGCCCAGGCTTCCACTTTAATGTTGCAGCTAAAACTGTAGAAATTAATGTATAGCAGATATTGATAAAAMAGGTAGGTCCCTGGGCTATGAAGAATTACTTAGGTTAAAATTTTATTCTTGAAGAACTTGCATGACATTGAAAAAAAGTGATATAGACACCAGTGAAAAACACATACCAACAGAAAACTGAATTCTTCCACYGTATTTGCAGTGGGCAGATGCATTGTTCACTTACACAACGCAACAGTCATTATTTTTTTTCCCCTGGAAACTAAGGCTAATGCAAATCGCGTAAAAGAGGGGACCTGCTCCGTGACAAGACACTGCACAGAGATAAACAGAATTAGCAGCCTGAGCTGTCTGTGSAGGCAAAGGACACGCCCTGCAAATGTTTTCCTATGTCGATCCACGAAAATAAGTAGAACCAAGAACGCGCTTCTCATTTCATCCCGCGATTCCCATTCATCCCTTGCATCCTGTTTTTCTCCGTGATAAAAACTCAGCCACACACCCACAAAGGAGCTCAAAGAGACAACGATACGAGGAGGAGCCCAAACAATTCCCAGAGGAGCAACTCCCAGGTTCACCCCCGGGCCCACCAAACGCACTGGCAGAGGAGCACGGCGGGACAGTGGCAGGCGGGAACGCAAAGCGAGCAAGGAACCCCGAGCAATAATTGCGAAGCCAACAGACCCAGGCCCGCCGCCCATGGTCGCGGGCTGCGCTTACCCGCGTCCTCCCGGCGCATGGCCCGCTCCAGCTGCTTCACCTCCTTCTCCACCGTGAGGGCCAGGTCCCGCAACTTGCCGAAGAAGCCCCTGGTCACGTCCATGGCTCCGAAGCGGGGAAGCGGAGCGCTGAGGCAGCGGGACCGGGGCGGCCCTGAGGGGAACGGAGCGGMACCGAGCCCGAGCGGCCCGAGCCGCGCTGCGCGCGCCGCCGACAGCCTTCAAACTGCCGCCAGCGCGAGCCCCATTGGCGCCGCCGAGCCCCGCCCCCGCCGCCTCTCGCGAGAGCCGCGCTCCCCCTCGCGCCTCCCCGCCGCCATCTTGCCTCCTCCSTTAGGGTCGGCGCCGTCGCCGGAGCTTCCCGGTGAGTGAGGGCGGGAGGGGAACTGGGACATGAAGGAGCTGTGCCACCGCGGATCCCTGCGGCTTCGCTTCTAAATCGGGGCAGAGAGTGGGACACGGCATGCACCTGCACCGTGGGAACGGGGTAGGGTGGCTTCTCTTAGTGGCTTGTAATGGTTTGTGCCGTGGTAAAAGCGCTTGGGTGACCGAGTTGGTCACGGCACCGAGGCTGACAAAGCTTGTGAAGCGTTTGGACAACTCTCTCAGGCACATGGTCTGACTCTTCGGGGTGTCGTGCGTGCAGGGCCAGCTGGACTCGATGAGCCTTGTGGGGCCTTTCCAACTGCATACATTCTGTGGTTCTGATGAAATTCAGTCTAACGAGAAACGCGGGCGTTCGGCGTGTTTGAGGCAAATAAATAGGTTAACGAGGAGCACGTGTGTAAAGTCTAAAMGCCATTCGGCCTTTCTTGCCCATTACACCCAGTGTTGTGTCAGTCTGTGCTGCTGCTTTCTGCATGTGCCGCTTGATCTAATTCAGGATATTGTTTTTATCTACCAACCAGATTTCCCTCAGTCAGAATACAAGACTAGGTAATTACATACTAATAAGCTTACGGAGAGACCGTAGTTTAAAGCCTAATGCTGAGGAAAGGATCCAGATTTGGATCGAGAAGAAAGAGCTGGTAAYACTTTGTTTTGACAACACTATTTGAAGAAGGCCTGAATGAAGTGAACCCTTTGTTCTTGAGTATCTGGCTGGATTTTTCTTAAGTAATTTATGGAGAATATGCTTTAATTGCAGTGTAAGGGTAACTGAATAGATTCTTTGGGTACGTAGATTTCCCTCTTTTCTGACTTAAGTTTCCAGTATACCTGGCCTTGTGCTGCCTACTGTGCTTGATGGTTTGTGTGTTTCAGGTTCTGAGCTTGAACCTTCAAACCAGCCAGCTAAAAGGCGTTGGAGTGTGTGCAGAGCTTTTTSTTTTTCTTGTCAAAGTTTTAGTTTTGTCCCTAAGGTAATGAGTATTTTGTATTTCTGCTTTTGTTTTAAGGCACAATGTTTTTAACAACAGTATTACTGCGGAAGAGAATTCCTGGAAGCCAATGGATTGGAAAGTACAGGCAACCAAGAAAGGTTACCACTTCAATGAAGCAAGCAATGATCCGAAGGTTGGAAATTGAAGCAGAGAATGAATATTGGCTGAGCCGACCTTACCTGACACAGGAGCAGGAATACAAACACAACACAGAAGAGAGACGTGCAAAGTGGGAAGCTTTCAAACGCCTGAAACAAGCCAAGTTTCCTGAGCACAGATATATGAGCGATCACTTGAACCACTTAAATGTGTCAAAGAAGTGGACATGTTGAATAATACAGCACATTTATATTTGGTGTGTCTGCACCAAATACAGCACTACCCTAGGATCTGCYCTCGTACCTATTATGGTAATTCACTGTAATTAGGATGGGTCACAAATAGGACTTTGCTATGGTGTACAAAATATGACATTAAAATTATTCCTAGGGAACAGCATGTTTTCTTATTATTGTTTGTTAGAGAAGTTCTTTGTGTGGCTCTCTACCATCTCCCCACCCTCTGTTCTTAAGGGCTTCAAACAGCAAGTTACCAGGGGCAGTGGTGGTGATTTATAGGTAACCCAGATGATAGCTTCACTGATTGCCTTCTGAAATTCTGGAGAACACTCCTGCTGTGTTGAAAGGGCTTATCTCCTGGTACTGGCTAGATAGCTCAGGCTGGTTGCTCCCTTCCTCAGGGATTGTTCTGTGTACAGCAGTACTTGAGACATGACTGATGATGCTTGCTATCAGCCATGCAAGGACCAAGGAGAACTAGAATTGCAGAGAGAGGGGAATGAGTTTTGAACTCATGGAGCAGTATAAAATGTTCCATTTTTAAAAAAAACCTTTTGGAAAGAGTTTTTGGTTTTAAAGTGTCATTGTCATGTCGGTGTCAACTTGGGTGTTACTGCCCTCTTACACAGATTGTTCCTGATCTGAAAGGAATACAGCTGATTCCTGTTTGAGTGGCCATCTTCTAAGTCAGGCTTAGTAGGCTAAGAATTAGCCCCAAGTCAGGATTTTTTATTTCCCCACAAGACCCAGTAACCTGGAAGATGTGTCAAGAGTGGGTGTAATCTTGTGTTTGTTGCAGCTGGAGTGGAAAAATGGGAACAATTACGCAGCATTTCCCAGGTACGCAGTTTTGCTCACTGATCTAATACACACATGCTACAGCTGAGCACTTTTCAGATTCTTTCACATACTTTTATTAAGTTGATATTGCATTCACTGATGAATTCAAGTGTCAACTCCATGTCACTTTGGAAAAGAGATTTAGAATGGTACGTTTTTATTAAACATGAATTATACTTCAGAGAAGTATGAACARGTCTGAACACTGATGTACAAAATCTTGAATGCACTTTCATTGGTTATAAATGGCTTAAGAGAACTTCATGGAAAAGTATACATACGGGTAAATTGCAAATACAATTAAAACATGAGGGAACTTCCAGGCCAAGCAGCGTGATTTTGTATTTAATTCATTTATAAAAGCCCATTTAAAAAAGTTACTTCAAGTATTAAACTATAAATGGCAACGTTTTTTCTGTGCATAGGACAAGTCCTATCTGTAACATACAAAAAAATACAGTAAGTGCATCATTATTACAGATACCTTTTACACGTCGCCCCAGACTTAAAACACAGCTCATTACAAGTTTAGGCAGCACAACTGAAAATAACTGTGGAAGCAGAACAGCTGGGACATAGTGATTAGTGCAAGTGTTGATGACCCTTGSTGGCAAATACAAAAGGAACCGCTGAGATAACAGGGATGTTTTCATTCATTTAAGTTAAAAAGGGGACAGACTTAACAGCAGGAAKGCTGCCTCTTTCTGGGATAGCTTTATGATTGTAAATTGTCATTCAGGAAGATTTAAATCCCGCAATAAAGCTGATAGCAGGATAAAGGACAGGAGAAATCAGAGAGGACCATGCTAAGTGTGCAAGTTTCAGCTAAGCAGTGTAAACGAAAGGGAATCGGCATGTCACCACCAATGCTTTGGTGACAATAAAAGTAATCCAAATACTTMATCCCTGACACATCTGCTCGTCTACTGAGCATGAGCTCTCTGTTTCTTGGRATAGGGGGTGGGAAGAAAGATGGGGAAACCTCCCAAAACCAAAGAAAATGATCCTGTAAACATTATCAGACTTCACTACCTAATGGAAACAAATTCAGGTAATTGCTTCAGAAAACAAATGGCCAAACACCAGTATTAATCAGCATTAAAACAAACCATGACTCGTAGCTTCATGTTTCATGACAGTTACGTAATTAAGAAAAGTGTGTATAAAAAGCTCTATATACAAAATAAATTTATAGAAATGAGTGTAACAAATGTGTTCAGTACTAAACCACTTTATGTGCAGCTGCTCTCTTTGGTGCCATTTAGAGATAGAAGAGCCTTTGACATTGCACACCTTGCTGATTTRTAGGTACTGTGAAAGACACATTCTTGAGTTGAAGGAGCTGCTGTTTGGAGCCTTTCTAAATGCACACCCAAATTCCCCAGTTAGACACAGTTTTAGAGGGTGTCCTTGGAGAAGATACACTGTAAAGCTCAAAACTGTCACTGTTTTGTTGTTACTTAAGTTTTAATAAATCTGGTCAATCAGTGCTCCAGATCCAAGCAGATGTGGTCAGTTCTGTGTTGGAGTCAGCGCACCTTGGTAAAGCTGCCAGACATTAATGCTATTGCAAACACTGCTGTTTCCTTCCTCTTGGGGCTGTGCTTAGCTGCAACTGGACCATACCTCAGATCATGAAGTCTTTGTGTGCATATCCARTGGTATTGAAATTCATCCAAACACAAAAGATGATTTATAATTAATACAGAAGAACCACACAAGATCAAAGGAAATAAACTACCTGAATACTGTAGGTATTCAGCACTCTGGAGAACAGGACCAGTTTGTAAGAACAGCATACCAAAAGGAGCTTGGTACCTGCAAAATCCACACTTGAGAGGCAGCTTTAACAAAAATGTTACCATMATTTCTACTCAAATCACTAAAAGTAGAAGTGCCAAAACTTTCTCTAAAATAACCCTCTGAATATTTAAAATGGAGGTTTTTGATCACATCTGACWTGCATCACTACAGTTGCAAAATAATACTGTAGGAAATCAGTTAATGAGAGAAAYCTATCCCTCTTCCTGCCCTCCTCCTATAATATGCCTTTGGCAAGCACAGCAATATGTGTGTTGTACACTCTGTGAGTAAATAACAGTAAGAAAACTAGTATTGTGTAGTTTTAAGTAATTTATATTTATGGATTTCCCTGCCTCATATTCACAGYGACAGGTGACATGACATTTTAGAAATATGGAGCATAAATCACACTGAAATCCTACCCTGCATCAGGCATCTGTCCTCACATCAGCAATTTAATGACATTTAAATTTTTTTTTGAGTGTATATAGATTTTTAAAAAAGAGAACAGCAGTAAGAAACACGAAAGCAGTTTCTAATTGCAGCCAATGTCAACTATCCTACAATAACTACTATGTATGGCTTGCAATAGTCATTACCTTGATGGATCTAAAAGCTTAAGGGCTGTTACTTTTAATGCCAATCTATGTATTTTCAAGACTCCCTGATACAGAGTAGGTTAAAGCACAAAACCAGCACATATAACATGGCCCAACACCCTAAAGGATGGAYCCTCAGGATCAATCCCCCTCCCGATCTCCTGAACACGTAGAGCTGTTCTTCACACTGCATTCACTGGAAGGTTCCAGCGCTTCTGTTTATGGGCCAAAAGTACCCAGTTCCTGCAGCCCCCTGCCCCTCTGGCAGGGACACCTAAGGCTGCTTGGAGCCTGACAGCCACACAGGCTTCCCGCTCCCTCATCCTGCCTGCCCCCTGACCATTTGGTACAGCACAGCCTAGGGAGCAGTCAGGACAGAACCCAATGACAGAGGATGTCATCCTGCTGCCTTAGATAKGATACTTCCTCCAAAGCCCAGGCCTGCCAGGGAAACCTAATCCCTCCATCCCACTTGCTGGCATGGCCTTAGTGTTCAGCAGTACAATTCCCTTAGAGAACTTAATTCCTTCAGATCAGCCTGGGGTTTCTCTTAGTCACCCATTCCCCAGAAAAAAAAAAAAAAAAAAAAGGTTGAGGGTGGTGAATGTGGAAGAATGATCTTTGAATCACTTTACTATGTTTAATATTTGCCAAAGAGACTTTCAGTAATACTTGCTTTTATACCAACCTCTGGCCTCGGAATTATCCTAAAACAGCTACTCTCCTTTTCTCACCTCAAATATGAGGAAAAATCTAGGACAAAATATTCCTGTGATCTGCATAAACATTTCAGAAACATCAGTTCTTCTTGGAAAGCCACAAAAATGTCCATCTGGCATAAGAAGAAGAGGTTTCATAAAAGCAGCACTCACTAGAGAATGCACATGGAGCTAGCCCAGTCTGTTTACTTGCAGTTTTCCTTGTAAATTCACTATCCTGACATAAGAAATCAAACAAGTTCTACTAATGTTGGCCTACAGAATACACACATTCARGGGGGGATATAAGAAACACTTCGAGGAGTGGGTAGGGGGAGCAGAGACCCTATTGCTGGATCAATGATACTTAGGATTCTGACATACATTTTGCTTATAGATCTGCTAGATGATGTCTGTGCATGGATGTGTTCTTTCAGCTATAATACATTGATGCAGTAAAAGCCAGATGATATTCCAGGCCAGATGATATCCCAGGCCCTCTATGACAGTTCCACCAGTGTTTGGGGCTGCAAATTTTGGTATTCAGAACAAGCCACTTGAATGTGCAGTCTTCTTTCTCTTCCCCAAGAAATTTTGCTGGTGCAGTACTGCTGAGAGCTTATAATCAGATGGGCACTTCTCACTTGACATTTGAGAAGAAAAAGCTAAACCTTTCAGATTAATGAGTAGCAAATGTTTTTGTAAGTTTTGGAATTAGCAAATGCAAAATTTCTTGTACAAAGTTTCAAGAAACATTCTGCAACTTTTATAAAAGGTGCAAGTTTGGACCATTACTACTGCCTCAAGAACATCCAACAGTGAAATTATGTTCTTAGGTTCTCAAAGAATTCTTGTTCCAGAAGATTAATATTTAAGAAAAATTTATTATATCCAAAGACAAAAAATACTTAATTTAAACTTACAGTATACTTGATACCTTAGTATTTCCATCATAAGCATATTTAACTCAAGTAGCAATCAGTCTGGGAGATAAACCAGACAGGTTCTTTTGGACTAGATCATCAATTTGACTACTACTTTCAGTCCTTATCAAAAGGGCTTATGTCTATTTTCAATCAGCATCAGCTGAAGATCAGAAAAGTTACAGAGAGAAAACCAGTATTTGTCACTTTTTCCAGGTGCAAAATTCCAGTACCACCCAAAGATGAGTTAGCAGTCTTCTCTATAGAGGAGTGAGGAGAAAAAAAACCCACGTTGTTTGCTGTAGGTCTTGAGCTAAGGATGGGATGGACTTGATTCCTCACACAGGAAACACATTTTGCTGTTTGTGAACTGGTACATCGCTGCACAAAGCCATCAGTCTTTAGCAATTTCAGCATCACTCAAACTGGATTTGAAAGTGGGACACTAAAGGATGCAATTTTTCAGTGTGCTAACACAGATTATGATCCAACACTAATCTTCTCATAAGTACCTGATATTTGTACTTTAGAACCAATAAAACCTTGTGCCTTTATTAAAAAGATAAAACAAAAGTATAAAACAGTATTTATAAACCCTCAAGAGTCCCATGGAAAAAGCAGTACTCTGCTGGTTCCATTTTCTAACAACACGCCATTGCAATATTGTTTTTCTCAGGGGTACTTTACCATTTTGTTGCTGCCTTACACAGAACAGCAAACAGTAACAGAAAATGTAAATTGCTAATTCCTTTTTGGATTGGCTTTTCCTTGTATGCTAACAGACAATGGTTCCAAAGTAATAATACATGTTTTTTCAACTAAACCCAAGTTCTCTTCTTTGAGCTCTGTCCTTGATATAGTTAAATGAATCAAGTTAAAATGATGAGAAAGCTCAATCCTATAGCAAAAAAGCAACACCCAAGTTAAAGGCTTTTATGTTGTTGGCATTGCCTTGCTCCAAAGCACACCTATTAGAAGCAACCCTCAGTCCTGAAAGACTTGGAGAGCTGGGATCATGGGGTAGACTGGTTAACAYGAAGAAAGGAGAGGACATCATCCAGTCCCTTCCCCATCACCTGACATTTGAACTATGCAAACCAACACTTCAGACTTGCTAGCCATGCTCTTTTTTTTTCTTCTTCCTTTTCCTTTTTTCTTTCCTTCTGTACTCTGGAGACCTGCTATGAAAGTGACTTCTGCAGTGCCTAAGGTATGAAGTTTGCCCATGAGGAGGTAGGAATCTCTGCAATCTACCCCCACCACTGCAGCATAACAGAAATGCATAGTTCCCACTCTGGACCGTGTGCATCCAAGCAGGGCACTTCTGGGTCTGGCCCTTTGGTAGCAGTATATAATTCAGTGTTGCATAAATGCACATTAAGAATCTTAAGGCATCTGTCTTAACTTCCCTGCTCTGCAATAGTGCTTACAATAATCCATTGTACTGTGCAGAAACTTGAATTTCTTGTCTCTTCCTAAAATGTTAATGTTCCAGTTCTTGCTGCTCAGCTTCTTCCAAACAAAATTAAGTAATATTCAAGCTCAAAATGCGTTGCAAAAACCTAATGAAACAAAAAACATAATTAATGGAATTATCCCATTAGCTTTGAAAAAACACATCATAGGGCATTACACAAATGCATATGGGTAATGTGATTTACAGGCTTCTCATCAAGGAAAGTAATTATGGCAACTTCAATTCAGAAACAGCCTTTTGGGAGGTGTGGGTTTTTGTTTTACACCTCTTATGTTTTAGAAGATTATCCATCACCACTTATCTATGTCTAAAGTATCCCGGATCCCTGATTGGCAATTTACTTTTTGAATTAAATAGATAGATGTGAGGACATAAATGATATTTACCTAGGTGAGGCTGGGGGACTGGCCTTCTTTTGCAGATCAAGCTCTGTACACTAGAATAAGCCATGACTTTGCTACTGCTGCATATTTCAGGCCCAAATGTAAAAATACAGCTATAGGCTTGTTACGGGTATTAGGGAAGTGCATTGAACAAATGCTGGATCTCACAGGTGCTGAGTAGTTGCTTACAAATGCAGGACTGGAATTAACCATCTTGGCCTACAGAAACTGTCATCAAATCCAACTGAACTCAGAATGGTTCAAACATTGTATTACTGAGTTAATTTAAGGTAACACCTACCCAAATGCTTTTGCATTGGGTGCAGTTGTGYACTTCTCTCATACAATTCTTACAGCTAGTATAGTTTGGGCAAGTGTGACACAAAGTACAAATTCTTAATTTATTAAATCTGGCCTGATTTTAAGAARAGAGGGAGTATAGAAAGGACATTAATCTCAAACTGTTACCAGTTAATTGTCTAGCTTAAGACAGTAATTTATGCTACCTCTCTAGGTCAGTGGAAAGAGAGATTAAGGCCTTTCTATAACACCTATCAAAGGCTGCTGGGATGAGCTGCTCTCATAAACTTCTATTCCATTCTGTGAAGAACAGAAAAGCCTTTGTAACATATTTATATCAGATTAGGTTTTATATAGCTGGAGGCTGAAAGGAATACCTTGCTTAGGGAGTTCTTTTGCACAYGAGTTCTTTTGCACATTTATATAGCATTGAGGAAAGTTGGAAAGGGGAAAACTTACCATTGGTGAGTTCTTATGGTTGAGTAGGTTTTTCAGAAGTCCCACTAACTAGTCTAATTTTGGTTTTGTATGAGTTTACACTGAGCAGTCTGACTAACATCAGCTCAAGCATCACACYGTCACCCACAAAGATCTTTCAGAAAGATTTTTTTCCTTGAAAACAACATTTTTTCCTTGAAACCTCTTCCAAAACTATAATTTTAAGTCAGAAGGCTTCTTAAAAAAAAAAGGAAAAAAATGAATCCTAAAATTACTGAGCTCACTGAATTYAAATGTGGTGTTTTCTTTCTGATAAAAAATGGTAATTACTTGCAAAAACATTGCCCCCACCAAAAAAACCACAACAACCAAAAAARAAAGAGACGGAGGTAATGACTCAGCTCTAGCTTCTACAGTTGTTAGTTAACCAAATAAGATTTGTTTCTCTTCCAAAGAGAAAAAAATCATGAGAGCTTATAAACTCACCRCAGCTGAAAGTCAACATAAAAAGTCTTATTTAGTCATTGAAAATACATCAAGGAAAGTTTTGCTTATGTACCAGCGCTCCCTGTATTTCAAAATGCAAAGTGCACACAGTGCATTTTAATGCAAAAACATTCCAGAAGATCACTGTCAATTCCAAATGTGACAGAGCAGTCTTATGCAGACACCTGCACTTACTTACTGACCTTCCTTCCTCATGCAYATGCAGCTTCCTACAGACCAGAACACTTCCCACCAATATATGATTAGGAAAAAGACATTTAAGGAGCTCTTTAAGAACATTAAGAAGCTCCTTAAGAACAGCTCTTCCTCAAGACAGCATTTCATCTTGGAATTGCATTTAGCAACAGATTCTTTTCCCTGGTCAGGTAACAAATCCAGCACTACCCACTTCAATCTAAATTACAGGATTAATCTGACTCATCCTAGACCTAGACAGCCCATGTTTCCTGCACTACAGCATTACTCCCATTCTTGTCTTCTCAACAGCCATTCTGAATTTTGTTTAGACTTTTCTATTACTCATCCAACATCAGAGCACTCCTCTGCATTCCATGACTAGTGGATTTTTGACTTCAAGATGCCTATTTTTACTCATACATGTACACAAACAGCAATCAATTGTGTTAGTCTTACCTGTTTCTCATTGAGACGGTTGGTTAGTAATTAGCTGAGATCAACTTTCCAATGAAACTATAATATGCTTTTTTGCACCTAGAACGTGAGAGAATCTCAATTATGTGTTTTTGCAGACTTCCATAACAAATAGCAAATATTTCAAACCAGAAAGCACATTTATCATGTTGTGCCTATTTAAAAAAAATATTTTCCTCCCCCTAATCAAACATAAAAGATTCCAAATCTCAGAACTGAAGTGCAGAAGTGAGAATTTTCTATCCATCCATCCATCACCTTAATGTAATAACTAATTTTGGAGCAGAGCATGGGATGCAAGTTAGCCTTAAATTCTAAACATGCTCTTCATGACTCCAGCCAATTCCTAAAGACTTTCTAAGCCTAAAAAAAAAAAAAAAAAGAAAAAAAAGAAAACCCCTCTACAAACAAAACCACTACCTGATTTCACATTTTCCTCTTCAGGGCCAGTTTCCACCCACTGACAATCACCAGCTAGCAATCGATTTTGTGATTCACTGAGTGGTCTAGTAGGAAAGGACTGATTGGCTACAGAGCTGAAAAGTAAGCAAAGTCAACAGGAATTCTGTAATACCAATAGCTGCTTTAGACATTTCTAGAATAGTGAAGTTATTGAAGAGCAAAGCTAGCAACAAAAAACCCAACAGTGCAAACTGGAAATGGCTGMCTGCTCCCAACCCTAATTACTCTATTGGCTTCAGTCATCACTCTAAAATAAACCTTACCTGACACAAGCCTCTCAGTTCTAATGGGAAAAAAACACAGATTGATACACAAGAAATGGCACCCTGACAGTAATACTRCCACACAGCTAGGTACCTATACCTATTGAATAGGTACCATCGGGAAGAGCAACCGAATGCTATCTTATCCCATGCAAATGCTAGGCCTTCTTCTGAACAATCTTCTGAATGTAAAAGCATACTTTGCTGTTTCCTGTTCTTGTGTAAATTCCACAGGTCATGTTGTACTGGAAGCAACTTCTCTGTATTGCCTATGAACCATCTAATACTTGGTACTTCAGGTGACTGCTGTTGGCAACAATCTTCAGCTACAAATTCACCAAACTATGCAGAAAACTTCTAAAGTGGCAAATGTAAACACCCCCAGAAACTGCAGAGAGAGACTCTCGTTTCTTTGAAAACTACATTGAAGATACAAAACATGTAAATCTGGGAGGGATAAAAAATAATGAGCCTAAAAACCTCAGCATCAGAGCTCTACTTCTCTTGCAAACTGTGTCAGCATCCTTGTTTAAGCATGCTTGAGGAGATGAACTACAAGTAATACCTTGCCTTTCACAACTCTTCCCCCCCAAAMAAAACAAACAAAATGCTTCATTTTTTTTTCTATGAACAATTATTCAATCTTCTTCTTTTTGATTGTTTTTAAGAGCCAGTAAGCTCTCTTACTTCACTGTTTCCTTACAGACATATTCTGTTAAAACAAAACCAAGACACAGTCAATTTTTTTAGTCTTAATCCATTCTGTCCTTCACTGAAAACTTACAAACTTACTCTGAAGATGACAAGAAACAAAGAATTCAGAAACTAACTTTGGTTTTTTTTGTTTTTTTTGTTTTTTTTCCCCTACATGTAAACAGTACAAAATCAGTATCTTAAGTGCTATAGTTACCTTTTGGCAGGTTCATTTTGGTTTGAGACTGCAAGCTGCTCTGGATCCATAATCACCAAACGAGTTGGGAAATTACATCCATCACCCAAACTAAATGAGAAACAAAAAGACTCAAATCACTGTTGGTAGTTGACTTACATGAATTGAACAAGGACCCATGCAAAAGGCTACAGGCTCGAATCAATTACCTGAGCACAGTGTAGAACTCCAGATGTTAGCAAGGCACTTCTACCACTAAATCAGAGGATCAGCTAATTAAATCTTGGAGCTCAATTGATTCCCACCCTATCATTCAGTATAGATTGCTGAGCACAGCACAAGTCTGTGTATTTCAAAAAAAGAGATGTATGTCTGTAGATTGTAGCCATAATCCCCAAATCAGTGTGCACATGTAGTAAGGCTCTTGTATTTACAACCCCAGAAGCTGTATCAAGATAACATYCTGGTGCTCATGCTCTCCCCCTTCACCCATAATTTTGAAGAAGCTAAGCCTTCTTTCAAAGCAAGTTTATCAGGATAAAATGTGGCAGCAAAACAGATTGATTCATCTACAGTAGAGCTACTGTCTTTAATCACATGGTAGTTGAGCAAACAGCTGAGTCAACTTAACCTGTTGGTATTACCTCTGCTGTTAGATACCAGACCTCAACTTCACAAACAGGTTCAGCAACATTTTTACCTGATACACAGCCTCCCAAAAGCAGTGTAGAAACAAAGTTCCTACTTCGTTCTGCTGAATTCTGGCAGTGGTGAGAGCAGGCAGAACATCAACCTTGGTTCATCAAGCTKGTCTGCAACTCCCTAAAGCTGTCTCAGCTGATGTTTTAAATTCCCCGCATTTTTCATAATATCAGATCTATTTTCCTCCCTTTGTTGCTTATTTACATCCACTGTCTTAGATAAAAGTGTCATGTACAGCAAAAGGAAAGCTGTCAAGTTTTCTCAGGGGCAAGAGGGGGTGTCTTTAAACTGATGTTGTTGTGATACAGCTGTTTGATCTCCTCTGAGCTGCTGATTTCTGCTCTGTAATCAGACACTAATACTACCACCAAACGGTGTACACTGCATCTCAAAGCTTTCCAAACTTCAGCATTTAAAAGGCTCCCTCTCTGACTTTGAATGAAAACCCTGTGCAAAGTTTGACAGTTTTCTCTTGCACATKTGCCCTGCACCAATATTTATTGTACTGGATATTCAAGTTAGCTTTTCAGTGGTGCTTTATTTTTCAGTAGAAAGGCAAGCAAGGCAGAAGAAATGGAATTCATTTATTCCCCAATTCGTTACCATTCAGATGGAATACCTGGTAAAGATAGGGAGTAGCCAATACTTCTTTTCATCTCCAAAAACCTCCCTTAGATTTTTGCTGCATCCAAGAGAAAAGCCATTTTTATCAGGACCATTGCGAAATGTGGGTGCACGGAATGTTTCTGTAAAATAAAAACATGCAATTCCTTAAACCAGTAAGGAGCCAGGRAACATGAAGAAACAAACTCAAACTTCTCTACCGTGGAAACACTGTTGAGCAAGGTGAGACTATCTTAATGTATATTATGGGGGGGTGGAAGAAAAAAATAATCTCAAGCAATCAGAGGGGAAAAGAAAATTGCAGGGTTAGTGAAAAATAAGGAAATCAGGTAAGCACAACAGTCCCCTTGTCAACTTTCTCTTTACATTTAACAAAGTCTGAGACAGAGCAAAGTACCATTAGCATGCCAACAGATAATCTCATCCCTTATTCCTTGGTGAGTTGCTCTCTCTTCAGCTTTCTTTGTACAGAAGACTTGCCCTTTTAGAAGTAATTYACCATAAGCGCTGCTGGACCTAAGCCCATACAGAAGAAGTTTTTCCACATCTGCCAAGTTAGGAAGCTGAATTAAGAGCATCCCGTGCTATCAGAGAAAGATGAAATCCTATTTTAGAAACAGACACACCACGAACTATAGCAATCCACCACCATTTTTCTACTCAGTCCAGTTACACCTTTGGCCAGGAACTGAGAGGACTCATTGCTCTCCTTCCAGACTGCTTGTCTTTTTACAATTGTGATCCAGAAAGCAGATAAAGTACTGTGTTGCCAATTATGACCACTGACTTTTGGGTAAGGATTATGTTAAAGTTTTCTTCAAAGCTAAAAAGAAACTGAATATTCCTTACCTGTAGATATTAAAAAAAAAAAGACTTCAAACAACTCTCCTGTCAACCAATCAAAAAATTTCTAGTTGAAAATTATTTTCCTTTAATCAACCCACTTATTTTTAAGGTTAGAAATTTAAATTCCATTGAAAGATGTAAGATTTTTACTTACTCAGTTGTGGAAATACTCATCAGTCCCTGTCCCCCCACACACTGCAAAAAATACTCTCAAGTGTTTCCTAACAAGAGCTTAAAATATTTTAGTTAATGCACACAGCTTGGTTATGCTAATCAATGCCATTTAAAATGTTTAGGCATAAAAATTAAGGGAATCTCTTTCATTATCTAGAAAATGTGCATCAATGCTTCCATTTTTACTGCACTTTTACAAGCCACTTCCTAATAATAAGGTTTGTTTTCTTTCACAGGATTTAAGGATACTCTTTCGGATCTAGTTCAAAATGTAGTACATGTTGATATACAGTAAAGCCTTTGACTTGGTAGGGACCACCCAGCTACTCAAAGTATTAGAACAGAGTGGCAAGCAGCAATTGGGTTACATACTTTACACTATATAAAAACCCAACAAAAATGCATAGTGCCTCAGAGGTCTGAAAAATACAGACCAAAGAAATGAACAGTCATCATGGATCTGAATGCTTCGCTCTAGCAGAGGATCCCCCCACAGCCTTAATTTTCCCATGTTTCATCTTTCATTACTTCCATCAAATACGCTTTTTAGTGCATAGCATTTAAAAAATCAATTCACATACGATGGCATATCATGTAGGCCTCACATTCTCACTGAATTGCCATTTTTCTGGATAGGGAAAAGTTCCATATTCTAATTAACTGACCTATAGTTGATCTGTTTTTGCCAACTAGCCAGCAGTGGTAGCTGAAGAGTGACAGTATGCTGATGAAGAACATGGCTGCCACAAAGAAAAGGAAGAGTACGTGGAACTTTGCATGGGTATCTGGCAATTCATTCTGGGGAGAAAGAGAGAAAGAGATTAGTATGTTAACATGTCCCAGCAACTAAGGCAGTATTGTTGCTGAACATTTCCTGCCACATCCAGTCTGCTACAGGTCTTTCAACTCAGTTTTTATRAAGAAAGAAAAGCACTAGCCAAGCTTTCAGCAGTTTTYATRAAGAAAGAAAAGCACTAGCCAAGCTTTCCTTTCGTGTCATGTTAAACTGGTATACAACAGCATTTAAATCRCATGGGTRCCCCTTCCCCTGAGTTTAGTACTGTGAGTGCACATATTCATCTGTGGTCTTCAAATGCACAGTAGGCAACAAGGCAAAGCATCTTTTATACCAGAAAATGTTAACTGTGCAGCCACAGCCAAAGAGACACGGGCAAAACATGTCCAAAGTCACCTCCTCTGAAGGGGAAAAAAAGGGCAATTCCTGGCAGAAGGTAGTGRTACTGAACCTAATTCTGAGCTGGTATAATGAACATAAAAGGGAAGTGGTGGTCATGAACAGGTAGTAAACAAGACACGGGATAGATCTTCAATTTTTGATGACTTGYAATTTTAAGCAACAACCAGCAGGTACCTAGCAAAACAAATTTGCCATGTCTGACCAGGCAGAAGTGATTCACCAGAAATCTATGTGAAAACCAAAAATTTCAGCAYAACCATCATAAAGAAACCAACTCCCACCCAAATCAGATTCTCRATTCCACCCTCAACTATTTTCAGACTTCCATTTTCAAAAGGCCAATAGGATTTGTAAGAATTATATTCCGGTTCTATATCCTCAAAATTGCAGCACTTTTAAGCAGTTGACCTTTAACAACATTATGAAAGCRGAGAGGCTATTTTTACTCAGCTATGTACTTAGCATTACTGCCATTACTTTTTCCATTAGCGCATTCAGTACACTCACTTATCTAAGGCTGACTTTCTTTTTTAAGCTAAAGCACATTTCAATTAAGATCAAGTGCACATAGGTATATCCATTTCCCTGTAAACGACCTATATTCATAGGCAACAGATTACAAGCCTCCTTCCGTGATGATGTAAATACCTGCCATGAATGACTGGACTAGAAAAACTGTAGTAGGAACAATATTTAAATAATGACAGCAATATTGGATTTTACCTTTGGACAATTCTCTGCAGCATTCCTGTGGCAAAGCTTTGCGCAAACAAAGACAATTTATTAAACACTAATATTATGTTAAGACAAAGTGTTTGAAAACAGCACAGTCTTTGTTAAGAACAAAATGGTTCGTGTGCAAATATGCTCTTGGACGTGCCAATTTCCAAAGCACATCAGCAGCTTCAGCCCCTGTTCTTCAAGAAAATGGAGAAGTACAAAAGAGCCCACTACTAACTTCCAAGGCATGAAATTTTCTCCTGAAGCATAGAAGTATTGGAATTCAGATTGTGAATTTTTGGATCACTTTCAAGTGGTTGCTCAGCTTGGACAACATGGCTACACCTATTTCCTTCTACTAGTTGCTTCCATCATAAGTAAGGTTTATGTGAATATTCTGTACGATGAAACCATTTACAAWGGTCTGAAAAGCTCAGAATATTCCTGAGGTATAAAGTAATGTTTTATTAATTACAAAATCTTGCTGACTTCAGAATATTTCAATTACCATCAGATGTAGKTTCAGCCAAAACCATAAAGAATAAATTGCCATTCTTTGCAAAATTTTCTTCATTTAAAAATGACCAGATAACACATCAGTAGTTTTTTCTCTTCCTAATTTCCTTCAATACAGAGCCATTAGTAGAACGTATCTTTAGTGTAACACCTGAAATGGAACCAGTGCTTGAGAAARTAAAGGAAGAGATAGGAAAGCTGGGTTCAAATTAGCTTTTAAGTTCCAAACTTTATACCTAAAGAGTGGTATTAGCTATCTKGGCTAAGATGCTAGCACTTATCTGTTGTAGACAAGATGTATGGCTTTTAAATTACATTAATCTGTGCAGAAAGCTTAAGGAGAGCCCAAGCATCTACATTACAGTCAGGCAGATACACTCAGTGTTTTCAAAAGTGCTGGCTACCATCAGATAAGTCTGCAGTAAGCAAATGACAAGCAGAATTCAGCTCTCTAGACTGCCATTTAAATTCAGTTTCCTTTTTTACTGCCCATTTTATTACTTACTTACTGACAAGTTGTGCAACAGTCCCTCTTCCACCTGCAGTAGGGACATATTGTGTTTTGTGATCCCCTGAAATCCAGGCTAGCAAAATACTCCAGTTGCTGCTTATTCCTAAGCTTCATATTGAACCTCTTCAGCATGTTCTACATCAGAGCACACTGCATTGTTCCCCAGTTAATTTTTATAAGTTGAATTTCTATGACCCTTTTGAAATTACATATTTAAACAAAAATAATTATCTACAAGGAATTCTAAGGMCAGTTTATTTTGATGCTGGAAAAGCAGTAGCAGCTTAGGTTTYGTGTTTACTGTGGGTCAGAAAATCTATTTCACTTGCATCCTATATAACTCTCTATAACTTGAAGGATTTTTTTAATTATGCATGATTAATCTGCATGATCCCCAGGGAGCATTTACTTCTTCTGACTACCCAGTTTCAGCCAGTGGTTATAACTTCTTGAATTGACAGTTGCAGAACTGTAGCATCTTGCTAAAAAAGGCCAATTCTTTCCTGGAGACAACCATGCAGTCTTTGAGTGTGTTTAGCACGCTTATTCACAGTGGTGTTCTAGCAGCAGTCCRCATGCCCCCGCATGTGAAAAGAGAGTGAAACTTCAGAGACTTGTTATTTGAAATCATTATGCTCAGCAGAGGCACAGAAGCAGAGACTTGCAGGCGAGAGAGCTGCAGAGTTTACAAAAGGAAGCAATTTGCACAACACAATCTGAACTACTCAGCACACAATAGGCTGAAGCCAGTCACTATTCTAGAGTCTCCTATAAACTCCTTCACAAAGAGAGCAATTTGATTGGGTATCAGGTAACAAAACCCCTCAAACTAAAAGTGCTGTCTGAGCTTGATTTGTTCCTTATTTTTAGTAGCTAGGTCTAGCCTAATCTTGGAAAAAAAACCTCAGATCTGGTCTATGTCCCTACTGTATAGGCAGGAGATTTGAGTTCTAACTAATGATGTGAAATCACTCTTCCCCCCATTATTGTTAATACAACCAAAGTTTTGCAGAAGCACGTGCCATCCACGCAGGACATGTTTCACATCCTGTATTTAGCTATACACAGGATTGCAAATTAATTTGGAGAACGGTGAAAAGACACTGAAAATGACTGGAAAATATAATGGTTTCAAGAAGGCGGCAGTGCAACAAGAGTAAAAATAGACACAAATATAAGCTGGGAAGCACTACCATGCACTGTGTAAACAAGGCATCAAGCACCGGGCATCCAGCCAGTGCTGGTGTTTGTGTTGGATACATTTGGTTAAAATGACGTTTTATCTGCTCATCTTTAACAACCTCYGAGGTAGAAATAAAAATGTCATGAGTATACAAAAAGCAATTACAAGTTTAAATAAAGAAAGCAGTCGTGTTCCCTTGATCTACAAAACAGATTTTAACATYAGCATCAGGGTGCAAGCCTGTGGTAAACATTACCAGCCAGTGTAGTTGTTCTACCACTGCATCCACAGAATCAAGACCTTTCTTCAGCACTTCTGCAAAGAGGTTGAAATGTGCTGTATAAAAGTCTTGCACGTACAAGTGAGAAACACAAAGACTTTCTTCAACAGAAGAATTTGGTAGGTGTGCATGTCTCACAATGTTTCCGAGTGTCTGCGTAGGAGCATCGTGTCTCTATGGAAGTACTATCAACAGTGCAAAACAATGGATTGCTACATTTGGGTAGCTAGCACATACACCTCCACAACCTCATTACAAGTTCTTCCCCCAGGCTACATTCCCCAAGAAGCAGTCCATACTTCTTTCCAACACTGGRTATATCCAGCAGTTTGTTGAACAGTATCTGAAAAACATCTATGAGGAAGCAAAAAATAAGCACTACCTTCTGAAGGCATACTGTAACATTTCCTATAGTGAAGCTTTGGGGGGGAAAAGCATCAATTTGCTCAGCTTGTTAGAGCATGGTGGTAATAACACCAAACTTGCGTTTTTTAATCCCCATATGGGCTCAGTGATCCTTCTGGGTCCCTWCCAACTCAAAATATTCYGTGGCTTTGTGCATCAAGAAAGCCTCAACAGAAAATRTCCAAATAGCAATCTGTCGGAGGCTGTAGCAGGCAAAGCTGAGCACTAGCAATACACTGAAGCAGTCTACAGACAGCAGCAGGCTGCTTTGGTTTGCATACAGATGTAGAGAGAACCTTCCAGTCAACAGCACTTGTCTAAAAAGCTCACATACAAGAGACATACACAATTTTGCAAGCCTATGTGACTATGGTGCTGCCACCTCTTTCTGGAAATGTACTTTAGTAAGTACTTTATAAGATCAGAGGAGTATTATCTTTGGGAAGTGGGTGATTTAACAAGAGTAAAGCGAGTCAGAGACCTACTCTAATGATAAGATCATGGCATCACCAGATTCTGTCTTGGAAGTATCTGGAAATGAAAGTAAGAAGTGCAAGTATTCAACTACATTGTCTATTGTTACATTTCAGAAGTAGCCCATTCTTGCAGGAAGTATTTTTAACATAAAAATAAAAAAAATAATCCCTCTTAAGTTTACTTCCTCTGCTCAAGAGTCCACTTCAATATTGTGTCYGATGAGCTTTGGAAGAGTCCTGCTACAAACACTAGTATTAAATGTTCGTTCATTGTAGTCAGTTGTTCTGAGACCTTTTTTGTGGCACTAATAACTACAAAGTAAGGTAACAAAGCAAATTCTTGTATTTGTTTTTTTTTTTTTTTTTCCTCAAGCACTGACGGGTAAATATGTAAGAGTGTGTTTACAATTTCCTTAAAAAATGCATACAAAGCACTGGAAAGTAACCAGGCAGATATTTGGAAATGACACATTCATGGATTGAAAATTTAACTATTTATAGCCAAGCAAGACTGAACAGCAGAATCAGGAAATTTATTCTGAAATATCTTTTGAGACTCAGCTATGACTGATAAACACATTTATGGCTTTTGTCTCACAGTACTGACAGTTCAATTCTCACATAGTTCCTTGCTCTCCAGTGACAGGCTGCTATACAGAACTGACAGGTTAAGAGAACACAGTACTTTGGCAGATCAGACCCACAGGTTTAGGTGAACACAAACGTTTTTTGCAATTATCTTACCTAATGCAAACTGTCTCAAAGTATAGCTATTTGAATATATAATCAAGCTTCTCTTACCCAGGCATGGCAGCAACCTTTTGTTCCAATAAAGATTATTTCTACTACTGAGATAATGACTACTTTTCCCAGTTACTCTGACAGCAGCCAGCATCTCAGAAACATGTACTGTTACTGACTCCAAGATGTGATTGAGACCCTTCCACTTGTGGTAATTTTTTGCATGCTTGTTAAGGGAAACACAATAAGGGAATTCTGCCWCTAACACTTCAGCCTAGAGATAGGAAGGCACACTACAAGTTTTTGTAGATGAAAGGGAACAACTACAGAAGACAGTCTGCTCAGCCTGGAATGTGACTGGAACAAAACTGATAGGAGGAATATAACAGTGACAYACAAGGATGGTTGCCCTTCACATAAATGTTATTAAATCTACTAAGATGCATGTATGTGTATTAACCATTTGACAACTGATAATAATCGCAAAGAAGATGTATAGCATCCACACTGTACATATCTTAGCATTCTACCCATTCCACGTCATTAAAAGTCACTAGTATGAAGTTCAGACGTGCCTATGTAGRGACTCCAAAACTGAGCTCAGTCAGTTCCCAACAAATTAATCTGCCCTATCTGGCAGCAGATTATCCATAGACAAGTCTAAGAAGAGACAAAATTGTTATTTATATTTCACATTTGTCAGTATTTTTATAAATACACAYATATATACACTCATGTAATTGTTTGATATGGCCAGTTCATTCTTTATCTACAGATAYGTATCCCATAGTCTCAAAAAAACCTGAGCAGTGCCACTCAATTTTGATGGTGCAGTGAAATTGCACAGTGTCCTCATCAAAACTCCTTCTCCCAGTTACTCATCTCATCCCGAGCAGTGTAATACATTTAATTCATCAAAATTCAGAAGGTTCTCCTGCTTCAGTCACTTTGATTGATGTCATTAATATATTGAACCACAGAACAGAGTAAATGGTGAGTGACAACATGCTGATGCAGCCTCYAAAAACACATGCAGGATTAAACGTAAGAACAACAACCAAAAAAAGCCTTAGAACTTACTGTCCAAAACTTTATGAAGTACTCCAAGACTGTAGCAGCAACAAACAAACAGTACAGTAAGGAATACATTAAAAACAGGAGGAAGAATTTGTAGTTAGAAAATCCCACACAATTATTCACCCTAGAAGGAGGGGAAAGAGAGAGAGGTTACTAAGATATACAAAAAATAACGCAAACAAAAACCCCACAATACATTCAGCCTCTGCGGAGCAAAATGTGTATGATGTCAGCAGTATGTCCAAAACATTCTGGTACTAGTGTTTCAGAAGCATTTTAAGCTACTATTTTGAAGGAAATTTCTTTCCTCAGGCCAAATGACCTGGGCCTTTCACATAAATTTTGCTCTCCATGATTCTATAGGACAGGACATGAGCTGGCAAAGCGYTATGATACAGACAGTCTGTACGGGAAGCATCTCTCACTACAAACTAACCRCAGTCAGTACAGATAGTAACATGAACCTCTTCATCAATTTCAGTGGATGTTGCTTTGGTTCCAAAACCACCTCTAATTCAACTATTGGTAGCAGTGTTTTTCATAGTGATAGCAGRTAATATTTTTACTGACTACCAGCAAATACAAACTACAGGAGTGAGTGGTCATACATATGGTCTAGAATACAGACATGACTCTCTCAGTGCAGTGGGTATCTTCTCTCCTGCTAACAACACCAAAGTAAACAAAAGAAAAAAATGCCTTTTCTCACATGTCTTGTTAATGCCAAGGTTTCTGTATACAAGGAGAAACTGCAAGATTTGGATTACTGACCTTACAATTCCACACTGCAACACACATTAGGAACAAGACTTATTTACACATATTAAAGAAGTTCTGTGAAAATTAAGGTTTATTTCAATTTGCACTTCTGAAGCAACATCTAATTCATCATTATTACACTGATTTAAAAAAAAATAAACTTACCATGGACAATGGTGGTCCATTTTTAATACACATCTGAAAGAGATGATTTCCAGCAAGTTAAGACAAAAATATGTTTTCTTCCTAAGACACATAATTTTAGCTTCTACAGTTTTGGGTATTGTTTTGGTTTTTTTTTTTTTTTTTTTTTTTTTTTTTTTGCCTTGTATTTTGCCTCACTGTATCTGTTTCAAGACCTCCTCAATCATACTAATTCTCTATATTAGAGCAGCCATTCTCTCACCCACAAAGACCAATTGAGATTCAGAAGAGTTATGAGGGGAGTTTCTTAATTTAGCAAGAGGAGCATTACTGAGCAACACTGTGTACCAGTTCATTAAGCCACACTAGTTTATATGTGCACCCAGAGAAAATATATCCAAAGGATCTTTCAGCGTTGTGTGGATAAGGTATGTTAGCCTGGCATGCACTTCAACTAAGTCTACCTTAGGGCTATTTTTGCTACCATTTTGTTTGCTGCTTGCTTGTTTTTTTAAAGCTAATTGAAGAAAAGAACAGCACAGAGTCATTTGAATAGTCCACATGCCATTTAAATCCACTTAAAATGTAAATACTGATACTAGACATTTCAAACACAGAGACATTCATCATATTTGCTAACAAATTTGATTTTAGCCAACTGATGTATATTAGGTTCTTCAGTTAACAAGATTTCCTCAAGCTCAGCCTACTGAAGCCTCACGCATAGCCTCAGCCTTCAGTGCCTGTGCAAACTCCTCTGATGATTCACAACAGGGAATAGCAGTGAAATCTTTGAAATGTTAAAGGCATGTGATTGTGCCGTCAACTTTTGAGAAGGCTGCTGAAACAAGATACCATGAAACAGTTCAATAATAAGCATTTGCTGGTGCTGGTATCTCAAACCGACCTTTCTTTACTTTACATCTATGAYATTTTACTTTCAAAATAATTTATTTTTTAATATAAGCTTTGTTTTAAAAGCTACAAGCACGTTTCCTAAAAAGTCCTGCCACTTTAGACAACGGGACTGCCCCATAATATTGCACCAACAGAAGGAACTAACCCATTGAAAACATGAACACACTAAAGTAATGATTGCAGGAAGGAGAAAATCTGTAATTCCAAATTCAGACACTTACACATCACATGCAGAACAGTGGTGGCAGCGGTCAGGTTTGATCAGCTGGCATCGATCACAGTATCTGATGGCTGTATTCAAGTGCAAGGGTCAGGTCAGTAGAACTCACTGGATTTTATGAGAACTTTCCCCCTTAACATGAAATGAATCTTCAAAAAGAGCTTCCTGCCCTCCCCTGYCACACCTGTTCTCACAGACTGTCACATGCCTAATCTCATATGATATGTAGTTTTGATTTTTTAAAGAAATGTCGCATATGAAAGTATTTAAAACGATCTATTAGTATTCCACTGAGTCAATTTTCATTTACCCTTTGACTCCCAAGTCTTCCCATCCTTCACCCTCAGGCACTGATCCCATTTACACCTCTGCACAGGGTACTGGGCATCTCATTGTGAAACTACAGTCTTTCASCAAGTCAACGTTCTGCACTGGCTTTCTCTGTCCACTTCACCAAACAATGATCTAGCAGACAGTTCAGTAAATCAGTTTTTCCTCATCTTGTCTGGGTATTTTTAAACAGACCTTCAGGTTTTTCTCACTGGAAATAAGACACCAACACAAGCATCTTGAAAGCACAAGAAAAGCCAACACCTACAGCTAAACAGAACTGGAAAGTGCAGGCAACAGCTTCTGAGACCACTTCAGGAACTTAAGACTGGGATTCCCTTAAAGGGAGCTTGTATTTAAAAGAGTCAGAAATTCTCAGACTTTACTTGGAAAAGTCACAGTAAACTTCAGCAATGGTTATTCCGTAGTTTAAGTTTTGGAAACTCTACAGGGCTGCTAGTTTCAAGAAAGACAAAAAGGCAGATATACATATAAAAGCTATAGATTTTTAAAGAATATACATATGCATAAGACAGCACTTTCACAGATCATTCATCTATAAATTGGAATAAAATGCCTACATATATCAAAAGCAAATGCAGAAATAGTCCATAAGTAGCTTTGTACTGAATTTCAGATGGGAATAAAATAACAACTATTTGTTTTTAAATTGCAAAAGTATGTTAAGATCTTAAGCACATTTCTTTTCGTGCTGAACCAAAACAGTTCAGAAAGAAAAGTTTAAATGGGGATAAGAATGATTAAAAATTGAGAAACACATTTGATTTCACTATTTCAAGCTATCTTATTTACATTTCTTTGCTGTGTTTAATAGCCGCAGCTAGAGAAAACTGCTGTCATCTGTCTGCTTGCTAGAAGGTGTTTTTTTAAAAAATTTCAAGTAGTGGCCTTATGTACAGATGCCCAGGAAAAGGACTGCWGTTTCCCTCAGGGGAAATAAACACCAGCCCAAATAAATAACAAAACATCATGGCACTTGCAATGTGTGTTTCATATATTGTATATTCAGTGAATAAACCAGCAACTTCAGGAGCATAGAATTATCTTTATATCTCACCTCTTGATGCTGTTGTAGTATAGATAGGCAAGTCTTTAGCAGCTCTTCTCAAAATCTCCTGCTGGGATTCTGGTCTCTCTTCTTTTTCATATTGTTCTTTATCAGCTTTTGACAAGCAGAACTAGGAGGGATAGAGAAAATGGATAGGAGGGAAGACACTAATTATTACTTTGTTTTCCAAGGAAAAGAACCTTTGGGTGCCCCCATCCACTGACCCAAAAGTGCCATGTAAATAAAAAAAAATGCTACAGTAATTACAGGAGATCCTTAAAACTCCATGTTTCTGGATGTATTTTCAAGAAAACTATCTCTGTTCCATTATCTATAGCATTTTCTCTTCAACATGAGGGAAGGCAGAGGCCCAGGGTGAGCTTTAAGGTGCAAACTTTCCTTTAATTCCTGATAACCATAAATTAAATGATCTGTGAATAAGAGGAAGGTGCAACAGTTTTTCGTTGCTACAAGGCACTGAAGTTCTCTTATCCCACTTCCTCTTCAACACAGAGAGGGGTACAAACCAGATGGGGAGAAAAAAAAAGGCAGATGGGGTTTGCAGCAGGGTTCACATTWCCAGCACAGAAGCTGAAAGAGTTTAAACTGGAATTCCAACTTAGGAGTAATCAACACCAGTCTCAAAATTCTTAAGTTGTATTGAAAGCAACTTCAGCAAAGCTTGTACAGTTTGAGAGTGTGTTACAATTCTAAGTAAAGCCTGACAAGCATTTTGTTGAAACCTCCCTGAAATGTAAAGTTTTACCAGAAAAGCCTGGAGAGCTTTTATTCATTTGAGAAACACTTAGTTTGGTATCCACTGAAATAGTATTTACTAGTAAGCCCCACAAGACCCAGCGTGCTGACGAGGCCCTGTGCAGTGGGGGCTGAAATAACTATTTCCTTTGGTATTTTTCTATTCTGAAGCACTTCTAAACTCTGAGCTTCCTGCATGGACTACAAGAGCCCTCTTTATGAACACACATAGACAAAGCATTCATGGTAGTGAGTGGAAAATGCTATGTGTGCAGCTGGAACAAAAACTGGCTTAGTGTGGTTTAACATGATCCTATTTTCCTACCAAAAGCATGTACATGATTAGCTCATATGGATTTTCCTCTCATCCTGCCCTTTTTCCTCTTTTGGATTACAGTCAGTTGGCAAGCAGCAATRAAAGCTCCATTTACAGAAAGAAGGAAGCAGTAAGACCTTGCTGCAATTTCTCCGTGCTATTTCCTAACCCAGAATGCAAGCAAGATGCCTCACAGCTCACAGAATCTAGTTAAGCCTCCTGCCACATACAGCATCATCCCAGTTACTGAGCCCACGCATCCYTCAAGGGTGAAACATGAAACATTTTTAAATAATACCCTTTTAAATAACCRAACAGTAGAATTAATCTATGTGAAGGATGAAATTAAAGTTTAACCTTTGAGCCATCACCGAGAGTTTGACCTCATTATTTAAATTTAATCACTCAGATAGATATTTATTCAAATATGAAAACTGAGACGCTCACATCAAAAGTTTAAGACAGATATGAAGCATCATTCCAGCAAACAGTGTTGCAATACACCTTAATCCCTACTACCCTTGTGAGTCTGCTAGGTGACCCAATGCCTGTCTCTGGGACCTGCCATCAGGCAGAGGTTGCAGGAAACATGAGTACTCCCTCTCGRTAACATTTCAAGACAAACCATTAATGTACAGAAAAGGAACCAAATAACAAGATTTAAAACTTTTCAAATTTGTCCATGTAACATCATAGTATTACCCTAAAAATCCTGGATAGGATTTTGGTTTTCTGAAAAGTTATATTTCTGTTCTAATTTCAGTACTTAATAGGACCACGAGACCACAGTCTCTTAGGACAATAGCAGGATATGTTCAAAGACATCAAAAGTTGTCTGTTACCACACAGCAAACAGAATTCCCTATGAGGTTCCAGCAGTTCTTATTGAAAACAGAAAGAATCCCTTTGTTTCCTTCCTCTTTCTGGATCTTGTATAATGCTGATTGTTCTTTCTTAGAACAAATGTACAAGGATTACACTAAGACAACAGCAGCTGCAGAATCTTTTTTTTTAGTTCAATAGTAAGATCACAGGATGCTATTTGTTTTGCAAGAATGGCCAATTTGAATGACTAAAAATATATACGTTCACACTCACACAATGAAGAGATTCTGAAGTTGCTTCTTTTTAAGTATAACCAGCATAAATTAACCACTGGTACATGAACAGAAAGGATTTGCCCAGAGACAGAAAAATTGGTGCTGCATTTTTAGTTTGGTTGTTTTTTTACTTTCAAATTTTTTTTTTTTCAGTGTGGTTTTTTGTTGTTATGGTGGGATAGCTTTTTTTTTTTCTCTCCTTCTTTTTCTGTTTAAAGCTAGCTGTAGAATAAAATTTTATTAAATCTGATCTACATCCACAGTTAATATACAAAAAATTAATTACATGCCATATGCCCAAGCCATCCCTTTCACTTGCTGGATACAAAAAGCTTGCTACATCATCACTGTAACTACAGGAAAAGTACTGTCAGGGTAAGTTTGCTATTAWTGAAGAATTCAATCAGACAGCAAAAGTAACTAGGCATTAGCATTAAGAGTAGCTCTAGTTTATATAGATTTGTAAAACCTAGAATTACACAGTTTCAACCACATTTTAGTTAGTTAGCCTGCTTAACTTTAAAATTTTTCTGCAAAACCATCCCAGTAAAAGCAAAACTAAATTATACTGAAGACAAGACCCTTTGAATTTTTAGGTTTAGCAATTAATAGAATAGTAGAATCATCTAGGTTGTAAAACACATCTAATGTCATCAAGTCCAGCCATTACCCCAGCACTGCCAAGTCCACCACTAAACCACATCCCCAAGTGCCACATCTATGCAWGTCTTAAAACCTCCAGGGATGGGGATTCAACCACTTCTCTAGGCAGCCTGTTCCAGTGCTTGACAACAAGTCTTTCAGAGAAGAAATTTTTCCTAATATCTAATTTGGACCTCCCCTAGTGCAACTTGAGGCCATTTCCGTTCCTCCTATTGCTTGTTACATGGGAGAGGAGACTGGTTCCCACCTGACTACACCCTCTTTTCAGGCAGTTGTAGAGAGTGAGGAGGTCTCCCCTGAGCCTCYTTTTCTCCAAGCTAAACAGCCACAGCTCCCTCAGCTGCTCCTCACAGGACTTGTGCTCCAGACCCTTCAACAGCTTCATTTAGACTTYCTGCTTAGCTGAACAGCAGAACAGTGTTTAATTTTTTGCACATTATATTCTATAGTTTTAACATACAGATCCCTAAACCATAATTAAGCACTACAGAGCAGTGCTTGCTTTTTCTTTGAAGCATGGGAATAACTCTTCTCAGAAATGTTTAAGGTTGACATTAGCACTGAATGTCAGTCTTACTGAAAACAGAATAAAAATTCAACCCCCAAAGAGCAAMCAACTCACAACAGTTTAGGCAGTTGAAAAGCTTTGTAAAAACAAGGAAGAAAAGGGCAGTATTTTAAATTCAGTGCCAGTATTTAATCCTTACATACACACACATTAGAGAAAATAGAAAACAAGGTAATCCATCTCAGGGTTATTGGAAGTAATATGGTTCTTTTTCAAATAAAACTCCTTACAGTCATCATGTATTCTTTTGCTATTTTATAAAGCTTCTTTATGTAGTCACATCTCAATTCGTAAACCTTAACCTTGACTAATAAGTGGTTTCAGTCCTCCAGGTCAAAAGCATACATTGCATTACTACCCTTTCTTACCAAACAAAGGTCAACACTGCCTAAAAAGGAAATATAAAACTATTTCACTGTGTTTCATTTATAATTTTTAAAAATTCCAGGTTTCAAGCAAGCTACTTCATAGCATAGCACTGTACAAGACTGCCAAAACTGTGATGATTTAAACATACATTTCGTATAAGGAAATGTCATTACACAAAGCATATGGTATTTTAAGAGCAACTTGATCATTTTCATTCATGATGCACTGTCATGCTGTTCTATTTTMGATAATGAAAAGGGAAAGGTGAATCACGCAGTACTGCAAACAAATTTCATCACTGAAAATCATTCAGCTATTTATAGRAAAGGCATTGACATTTTTCTGACATTATATTTACCTCATTAGAGGGGGTTGCAGGAGATGTGAAAATTGTCTTCCCATAGGACCATACAAACATGACAAATGACAGATGAAAAACCACAAGGTAGACAACTGCAATAAAATACAAATGAGAATTTGGTGAATATAGCTGAAAAGAACAAGAAATAAGCCCCCTGATTTTTGAGGAGGGGTAAACAACTACCTTTAGAGCTCTAGACTGTTCACTTAAAAAGAATGAAATAAACACCTACTCTCACTACCCAAATGTGGTGGCTATTCTTCCTCAAGGAAGTATATATTTTTATCATAGATACGTGAAATTACCTTGAACTCCTCTTCCATGGATGGACCATCCACAACTTCTCTGGGCAACCTTCGCTGCTGCCTCACCACTCACACACTAAAGGATTGCTTCCTAATACTTAATTTAAACCTGCCCTCTTTCACTTTGAAGTCATTCCCCCCTTGTCCTATCACTCTATGCCTCTCTAACATGTCTCTCCTCAGCACTCCTGTAGTCCCCTTCAGATACTGGAAGGTGCTATTGGGACTCCCTGGAGCCTTCTAGAGGATGATAAGACCCAGCTCCCTCAGCCTGTCTTCAGCTAGAGAGATGCTCCATTCCTCTGATCATCTTTGTAGCCTCCTCTGGACCTCCTCCAATAGGTCCATGACTTTTCTGTGCTGAAGACCCCAGATCTGGATACAGCACTGCAGGTGGGGTCTCACCCGAGCCGAGCAGAGAGAGAGAATCCCCTCCCTCGTCCTGTTGCCCACGCTGCTTTGGATACAGCCCAGGACACGTTTGGCTTTCTGGGCTGTGAGCACATGCTGCTGACCCATGTTGGGCTTCTCATCAACCAGCACTCCCATACCCTTCTCCCCAGGGCTGTTTCTCAATCCATTCTCCRCCCAGCCTGKACTTGTGCTTRGGATTGTCCTGACTTMTGTCAGGACCTTGCRCTTGGCCTTGCTGAACTTTCCAAAACAGATTTTGAAGGAAAAAGCAAATTGACAAAACCACCCCCCMMAAAMAMAMAMAAAAMRRAAMMAAAAAAWYCCMAAAMMMMA